TGCACACACACGCATTGCGTGTGTTTCCTACCTTGTAATAATAGTCGTAGGGAGTACTTGAAACTCCAAATTCATAACTAATTAAAACAAAAACATACTCTTAAATTGAGAAAGAAGACTTACATAATACTCGTAGAAGGTAAAGACCAAAGTGAAAATTTTACAGTAGTCTTTTGAAATATGACTACCATAATGTTTTAATGATTATATAGTTCATAATTGACATATTTTTTCCAAGTAATTAATTAAATTACTTTATTAATGATATTAAATAGTATTTTCAACATTTTTTTGATTTTTATCAAATTTTTTGTTTCATTTATGTAATTTTTATTCTTATTTTATAGTTTCTCAAAAAATATTTTTATTATGTGGGATTAAATTTTTCAAAAATTTTATTTACATTGTTGATATTATAAGACTAATTGTGGCCATTTTATAACATGAAAAAATAAACTTGTCATATTATATATCATTAAAATAATATGATATTCATTTTCCAAATGACCGCTGTAAAATCATCCCAAAGATTATTAATTCTCACAACAAAAAAAAAACAAAAAAATCGTAACAAACCCCTCGCCGCCTGTGTTTTGACTTTGGAGTAGGTGAAGTACGGAGTATCAAAATATGTTTTTTTTTTTTTTTTTTGTGAAGGGAGTATCAAAATATGTTAAACTAGCTAAAGTCATGTGCAACAGTACAAGTTTGCAACACACGAGTTTTTCTAAATTACATAACGAATTATAATGTTACTAGATGAAATCCGTGCGATTTACAGTTTGTTTTTATTTTTTAAAACAAATATTTTATGTATTTATGTGATAAAATTTGTTACTATTTATTCATTGTACGTAATACATCATTTAATATTTTTATTTTAAAATAAATAGTGAATTTTATCTCATTCGTTATTGTAGGGAATTTACGCTCCGCCCTACATGTGGGTCATGTTTTTAAGCATGGTGGCACTCCAAGGAAAAGAAGCTAGAGAAAAAGAGTCTCCAACAAGTTTTAGGAACTTTTAAACCGTTCACGGGTGTGAAGGTTACACCCCCATTCACAATCACAGAGAGTGGTCTTGAACCATGACTGGATGTTCGGGCATGATGGTACGAATTTGACCTAAGGGAAGCCAAACCTGCCCTAATATAGGCCTCTATTTAATTCTTTTGATATTCATGCGCGCTACATCATAATGTTAATCCTAAACCTGTTTAATCTACGTTGGTCAATTATAAATCCACAATCAAATCTAATATTGGTGATCACTTGAATTAAAATCATATTGAATCTAAATTCAATTATTAATTATCTTATTTGGCGTGATTTCAAGTACAAATTCCCTTCAAGCTTGCAAGAAAAGGGCGTGATCAAGAAATAGCAATAAATCATGAATAATCAAGCAACATATGATTAAATATAACAATCACCATCATCAAAACATTGTTAGAAGTAAAGACCCTAGGCATGATACTAATTAAACAGATTAATAACAATCCTAACATGTCACTAATAATAAAATCAAAGCGTTATCCTAAACATGATACTAGAAATCAAAATCAACATGTTATCCTAAACATGATTTCTACTCCAAAATCAAAAGAATAACTAAGTAATTAAGTTACTTACTTCGATGCCTCAACCTTCTTACTATTAAAACAATACACACGTTAGTAAACTTCAAGAAAGAGAATCAATAAAGTAAATAATAAACTAAATTAATTAAGAATTGAAATATAGATTTGGGACCAAACCCTCAGAATTATCAACATTTCACGTCGAGGTCGAAGGCAACATTAAGTATGGTTTGGAGTATTCGAATCACGCAAAGGAAGTATTGTGGATGATTTGGGGTGTATCAAGAATGTGCTTAGGCTAAGGCTAAGAACATAGGAATTAAGAATAATAGGTGATTGATGATGATTGTTGATTGTGGCTAGGTGGTTGTAGCTTATTGATGGTTAATGTCCATGATCTGGAACTGGGGAAACGACCTCTATTTATAAGGAAAAAGGAGAGTCAAAACGATCAGAAAAAAATCAAAAGCTAAACCGAGATTAAACTTATTTTGACATGGCGCGACAAGCGTTGGAGTCTGTCGCATCGTGACAGGATTATCGTGCGGCGATAATTCTAACGTGGCACGATGGTTTAAAAAGATAAAAAAAAAAAAAAAAAAAAAAAAAAAAAAAAAGGTTGTACGGAGTTTGATTTCTAATGGAACTATGTTTGCAGAAGATATTCGAATGTCTTTGAATTTGAACGAGATAAGGACTATCATATGAGAAGTTTTATTCGATCTCGAACTGTTTGATCTTTATCTTTTCGGGAAGAATAGATTAGAACCTCTTAGAGGCTTCTAGAAGTTCTTACCTGATTTAGGATTGGGAATATGATTATATAGGGCCTAAATAAAATACTTGGACTCCATATAATCATTGGGTCGTATTAAAGATGGACCTAGGCTCGGTTTGGGCTCGGTTTAGTATTTTGGCCATATATCATTCGTTTTAAGTCGGATTTGGTTTATAATATATCGTTGGAAGCTCTTTTCAAGCCCCATCCAACTAAATAATAATTGGACTGTGTATATGGACCAAAATAATCTGGTTTGAACTTTTTTATGATTTGGACACGAAACGAATGATTTTAAGGTTAGAAATATGGTCAGGCCTAAGGGAATTTTGCGAGACTCTTCAACTCTTTACCGAACTCGTCAATCAAAACGTGAAAGGTACTCATCACTGGGTTTGGTTTTTTGGGAGACACAATTAGGTACCTACAGTTATATATTTAGATAAAATTCATAATCTCAAAAGATAATATTTTACATTTAATTAATTTAAACTTTAAAATCTCAGTCGCCAATTTTGCTTATGTGACATTTGAATTATTTAATTCTAAAAGAATTTACAAATCTTTTATTTAATTGGCTATAACTATAATTTATAATCTTACATGACGCGTTAAGAAAATTAATCCTACATGGCTCTCTTAAAATTCGGGAAAAAACTCTCCTTCATATATATACTAGTTTTGTGCCCGGGCGATGTCCAAATGGTTGATAAAATTTTAGGATAAACTTTTTAATTAGCTTGAATGTTAAATAAGGCCATATAATCTTTTTTTATAATGCGGGATATTTAGACATACGATGTCATATCGCTTATATTTATATAATAGTGTACTTTTTGTAGTTTTGTTTGTATAAATATCTATGTTATTATTTACTTGAAATTATATTTATTTAAATTATTTTTACTGAACAAAGTATTTTTACCAAACTAGAATTATTTTTACAAATTAAAACTTATTTTTACTGATTCTCTATTATTTTTTTAAAATAAATCAAATATATTATAAATGGATATTATTTTAAAGAACATTTTAAAACAAATTTTATGATGGAAATAGAACCGATTTATGGGATATTTATTAAAAGTTATGATAAATTTTGTATATATGAAATATTAGAAGTATATCGATAATAAAACTCTGTACAATATTTTTATCTTACAAAATCTATCCAAAATTCGCTTAATTAGCGTCATATGTGTCACAATAATACCTATTTTTTCCTACGTGGCTCGACATTTGGCGAAAAATTGGAATGCCAAGTGTCGTTGTCTCGTGGCCTAGCTTTGAGACCGGCTTTATTTATTAGTGATATGATATGATATGATATGATTTGATATGATATATTAGATTTGATACAAATGACACGTGCCACTCGTGAACAGGAATGACAATCTAATCCATATCCAATGTTGATCTGATCAGATCTAGGAAGAAAAAAAAAAATTTGAGCCGAATTCAAAAAAAAAATCCAAATCTGACTCTGTTTTTTAAAAAATCCGACTGTAAGCCCAATAGGAGTCCAACTTATCCGATCTAACTCCAACTTTTTACGCAATTATATTATTTTATCAGACAATTTATGGTTTTATAGGTCTTTGATATTGATTATGTATTTGCCTGCTATTCATAATTGGGTCGAATAAAAATTGAAAGACGAATTCGGCATAGAACTGGATCGGATCGAAGTGGGATTATCATATTCAGTTGTCAGAGTCATAAGCGAATAAAAAATTCGACAACTTGCAGGTTCGAAGTTGGATTATGCATAATTCGATTTGAATTCGACCCGTTGTCATCCCTACTCCTGAATCTTGATGTCTAGCTTAGTACGAAGTATAAAGTTATAGATGATTGAGAGTGAAAAACTAGAGATTTTGCAACCATTATGTTTAAATCATATTACACTTTCACAATCGTACTATATACTAGTATTTCCATCCTATTTAAAGCATTGTGAATGTCAAATTGGCAAAATTAAGTCAATTTCATTCATGTAGGTTTCAAAAACCAATGATTACAACATATATGCTTGATGTTTGTAATTTCCTTCTTTCTAACCACAACATAATATTGCAAAACAATGCACATAAAATTATCCTAAAAACTGATACATTGTAGCACCTACAACTCCAACTCCAACACCAATTGAGACAAGGTCACAAAAACTTTACATGTGTGGCAAATTGGCAATCAACCCTGTTCCAAAATCACCTTCACAATTCAAGTGCTCAACCCCTCGTTAGTTGTCTTCTTCATCTTATCTTCCTAATGCCCACCACTCTCTTCTCCAATTGACAGTCTAGAAATGCAACATCTTCTCAAACACCAAACTAATCGATAACATCCTTATATACATCCACCTACTATAAAATTGTCCATGCCTTAGCCATAAGGAGTCTACACAAGAACTTGGAGTGAAGTCTTGGTATAATTGAGCAAGAAAAAGGACGATACATTTGCAACCAATTGAATAGATTGTAGGAAATTCAATCAATTGCTTTTGTTAAACAATCATTTAGTCAAAATTATATCTTCTGATGTCTGGATTTCCCAGTTGTGAATCTCTCACACCTGTTATTTGAATTAAGGAGACGAGATTGATCTTCTAGTATTATAGAAGACAGAAAGCATGTAAGACATAATTGTATGCTGTTAACAGCAATATGAAACTGATTTAAACATAATGGCAATGTGAATCAGAAAAGTCTGTAATTGCAAAGGTAGAAACAGTAAAGATTAGCAGCGTAAAAAAAAATAAAGAATTGCTTTCACGGACAGATCCCAAAAATTAGTATCTTGAGTTTTACTTTCTGGACTACCCTGAAACTAAATTAGAAGGTTGAACTTTTCGAGTTTCTGTACCTATAAGAAAAAAGACCTGTTTGCCTGTGGAAACTGAAGCTGTACACTACACAATTGATCCCCTTTGGGTCAGTCTCAAAAAAATGATCACACCATTGATTCCGTTGAGCAAAAAAGTGAAGAAAGAAGACCAGCTACTGCATAAAAACTCCCACAGCAATGTCTCAACTTTCTTCAAATCTTCAGCAAAAAAGATTTCTCAACCAATATTATGTTCAGAAAACTACGATAAACCAGCATGATGCTTCCGTTTTTATCCAAGGTCTCAATCAAATTGAAGCACCCAACTGAACACTTACCCCATCTTCCGTGCTTCACTTGTTGCAATGTTACTCCAACTCGCTTCTTTCGGATCAGGTACACCAATTCTGGCAACTTTCTCAGTATTTTCCTTCCTCACCTCCTCTGCAACTTCTGTCGTTACCTCTAGTAGTTCCACTGGAGTAGCAGCAGGGTCAAGCTCACAGCAACCCTTGGGGGCAATAGGAGATTCTTGACCAGTAAGCAAGAATGAAGGAACTTGATGGGAAAATCTGAACATTTCATCCCGTGGAATCACCCTGACATGATCCTGATCCATGTATTTGCGGAACACGGTCTTGAAACCAGTAACCTTAACCAGTGGAAGGACTGTTGCTCCTATTTCCGGGTTGTAATCATCAAGGACTTCCACCATGTCATATTGGTGTATTACCTCATCTGGGGTATGCTCATTCCACTCAGGTGACCAATTCCGGTACAGAGCCCAGACATCTCCCTTACTAGGATATATACGGATTACCCCCCTTGCACCTTTTGTCCACTTTACTCTATGTGAGAAAGAGTTAACACTTTTGTTGAGTTCATACCTACCTACTCTAAAATCGCCATTGGTTTTGTAGAAGCCACAGCCAACCCAGTTTAAGGCCCCAAATTCAGAGGTGCTTTTAGAGTTAAGCCAACTAATGCGCATCTTGAATGGCTTCCTCGAGATCACACTATGAATTATGGCATAGTACCGGGGCATACCATCTTCATCGTCATAAGCAGCCCAAACTTGATTGTCACCGAAAGATTTTTCAGTTCGATCGCTGTCAAAATCATGGAAATCTGGATCTGGAACAGTCATAGACAATGATGGCACATTCTCATTTGCCTCAGGGTCAATTTCAGAACTGGAGGGTGAAGAGGTCTTGAGGTTTACATCTGTATGCTTGTCTCGTGCAAATGTGTCAGACTTGCTTCCAACAGTTCTTACTCCATTTACATCAGGATTAGCCTGAGTTTTAGAGCTAGATGTTTTCTCTTTTGTTTCTTTTGGACCACATTCCTTGATTAAAGCCTTCAGTTTGACATCCATGTTCTTCCATTCATTCAGCTTCTTGCGAATTTCATTCTTCGCTTTTTCCATCAACATATTTCGAGTCTCAAGCAGTGATAACTCTCTTGAGATATCTGGCAATCTAGTCCCAAAGGAAGATACCTTCTCTGTTTCAGTGGTACCATTCTGACATCCATTTGGACTCCCAAAGCTAAAAGCTGCGTTTCCCCTCAATAGTACATCATTTTTTGCAGTTCCACTGTCATTCATCTTATGTTCACTTGACCGTCTTCTTCTTTTAGGCTTTTCACCCTTCCCTGAAGAACAGGCTCCATTAGCTTCACCAGCATTAGCCTTAAAGGCATTGGTTTTACTCTTGAATACTGCCTCCATAGTAGCAGTCACTTGTGAATTTTCATGCACTCTCTTTGAATTCCCACGTGGTATCTGCATACCATTCATGGCTTGTGCAGCTGAGGAAGCTGCTGCTGGCATGCTTCCTGCATTTCCTAAAGTATTTTCACAATTGCTAAGTTACTTATTGGCTCAATTTAGGAGGAAGACAGAAAGAAAAAGTAAAGAACTAGTAACTACAGTTAGGCATTTGCTTGGTTTGCCATAGATTAAAGCAAAGAACACACAAATTTCATCCTAAAAACAGAACTGAAACTCAACTAACCAAAGATTACGAAGACAGAAACAAAAACTAAAGAACTAGTAATTACAGTTAGGCATTTGCTTAGTTTACCACATATTATGGCAAGGAACATACAAATTTCATACAGAAAATAGAATACCTGAAACTCAACTATAAAAAATTCACAAGTTCACATTCAGTTGCAAACAAAAGAAGCCTCCTCAATTGAATAGGCAAACTGAGTATTTCTTACTTCTGAGCACCCTTTGCCCATACAAGACAAGATCCTTGTTAGAGGCGTTGAGTTAAAAAAATATATATATAGATGTATAGTGTGGCGATGTACTAATGTTACAATGTAAACTAAAGATAGAACACTTGCGCAGCTCTTGGCATAATAATTTGGTTTCTCTATGCATTAAATAGTTTAAAGCCAAGCAGAATCATATTCATACCTGAGGCAAAAGGGTAGTTAGAAGTGTCTTGGGGCAATTGAGCAGCTTGTGATGAATTAGAATTTGTCTCCGGAGGTGGGATTTGTATGGCCAGAAAGGGATCCTTGCAGTTGTAGCATTCAAGCTTTTTGTTGAGGTAGAAAAGAACATACTCAAATTGCATTTTGCAACTGGTACACATAGTCCAAAATGTATTACGTTGTGGTGGACGTACTGAATTTAAATGGGGATTTGGGGCATTCTGACTCCTCATATTAAAATTACCATTGTTGGCAGACCGGTGAAGACTGTCACTACCAACTGATTTGGAAGGCTTTTTTGGTACAACTTTCTCAAACACCCTTTTTGCACTTCTCTTTTGATCATATATTGTTCTTCTGGCTTTGTCAGACAACAAACTCCAAGCTTCTGAAAGAATTTTAAATGCTCCCTCTGCACCAACTGATTTGTTTTTGTCAGGGTGGAGAGTAAGGGCAAGTTTCCTATACTGTTTTCTCACTGTTTCATCATCACTTGATGGTTCAACACCAAGTACTCCATACCAATCAACTTCTCCATTAATTTTTCGCTCAGCAGAGAGGTAAATGTTTAGAGTTGCCAGCAATGGTTGAAGGCCCTCCAGTCCAGGAAACAAATTATGAGCCTTCATTGCAAATTTCCTTGCTCCCATTACATCCTTTGCCTCGAACTTTTTCTCAGCAATTAGTTTAGCCTTAGCAGCCTCATCTTTGTTACATTCCATTTCTACAGTCCTCGTATCAACTATTTTAGTTTAGATCCTTCCTCACAATAAAGTCACGGAACCAAAAGACTGACTTCTCCTGATGCTATTGTGTGAATAATAACTAAGTGTCTTCTATCACCAAGAAGATCCTGTATAAAAGATCATAGCAAAGTTGAAAAATTGAAAACTAGATAAGATAAGACATTCTTGACCTCTCTATCGCATCAACTAATCATGCACATAGTTGTAAGCATTAATAAATAATTTTTTTTTTAAAAAAAAGGAAAAAAAAAAGACAAAAGAAAAGAAAAGAAATGAAAAGAAAGAAAGAAAAGAAACAGCATTCCTCTATAGAAAGAGACAGAAGGCTATCTGGGAGAATGGGGCCGTGTTACTGGTGTGGTTGATAAATTTGCAAGGGATCACCCAAGGGTTTAATCTCAAAAATCTCTACAAGTCAAGAGTGCTATACTAACCAACATCATCCAACAAGACAGGCATAGACAGAGTAGATCAAAAGACTGCAACTCTGCAAGAATATCAAAAAATTTCTACTGCCAAACTTTCACATAACTACCATGCCCTTAAAATTGCATCATTTCTAGCATTTAAGTCTAAACATGCTTAAGTTGAAAAAAACAGGTTTGGACACCAAATCTCTACAAATACAAGAAAACTTTTCAGGGAAGATCACTGCATCAGCTAGTTTGACAGGTATGCAACTTCCAGTTTGGACCCATCAAATAGGTCCCTATTCATTGCATAAATCACCTAATATCATAAAATAATTTATTTACTACTTCCAACTAAGTATCAGAAAAAGGCATGACGAACTGATTTCTGCAATCTATTTCTCAATACACAAAACGAAATGAACAATAATGTCACTGTAAGACACTAAGACAACGTAAAACAACAAATTTCATCATACATTATATTTTAAACTACAATTGAGGCCACAAACAAATTTACCACAAAAATGGATAAGATTACAATGATCCTAACTGTAATCTTCCCTTCCAAAAGAGATATAGTTCCCGATTGGATCGCCTCGTTAATAGCTTCACCCTCGACGATTCTTCCTAGCAACTAACTCCTTATCTCACACCTCAAACCCATTAATACTAGATCAGAACACAAAAAACTAAGCAAACTCATCTTCCTATAACCATAATTTATGGCCTCAAATACAAAATTCGCAAACACAAACAGCAGAAACTTCAACTTTTATCAGCACAAATTGCAACAACGAAATCTCACACTAACTCAGCTCAAATTAAACTATACAAAATCAAAAATTTAAAAAGACCCTTTAGCGCCAGATCTATAAGATTGAAATCCCAGTAAAAGTTTATACTAAATTCACGCAATTATAGCAGAAACAGTAAGCAAAATTTGACTAGCATTGAAGTTCACTAATCAATCAAACCCTAATTACAATTTTAAGATGAAATGAAACAGTAACAAATTAAAAATTAAAAAATTAAAATTTCGATAACTTACCCATATTTAGGAATTTTGATCATCAATAATAAATACCCACTTTTCTCCAAAGTATGTAGATGAAGATCTTAATTTTTTTTTTCACCGTAAAATTACGACTTCTGAGAAAATACACAAACCCTAAAGAAATTATTTACAGGAATATCCAAAATAATTTTATTAAAATTGGACTCGTGATATTCATTATATTTAAAGGTATTTTGTTAGCCTAAACTTACATTATTTATTTATGAGATGGGTTAAAACCCTAACCATGGTTAAATTTTAACTCGGGTTAATAAAATTGCACATGTCAAGTTGGCTAAAATTGTAAAAAAAATACTAAGAATTTTTCTCAATCACAATTTTCTTGCCTTATAAATAATTATGATATACCTTTTTTCTAATTTTGGAAATAAAGGTGACCCAAATATTAATAAATTGAAGTATTAAATAATTCTCAAAGAGAAAATAAAAATTACTCTATAGTAAATATATATTAATACATTATACTAGTATATGTTATATCTTCATTTGTCAACAAATTTTAGATCAAGAAAATATTTGTCACCAATGAAGATGTAATTCAATTAAACAACCATACAATAGAGCATACGTAAATGCATTGTTAATATACATATATTTAACCTTTCATAACTAAAGTCAAATCCCATCTAACAAAACTAAGGAATGGAGCATCAAAGTTGCAAATAATCCTCAATGCTCATAAGTCATAACATCACAAATCTATTTGGCTAGGTGAAGCAAGCACTAAACTACTAATTCATTATCATATGGATGAAGGACTAAGGAGATATATGATGATTATGATTTATGACCCACATAATTAAAAGTTTTTTAAAAATTAAAACTAAATATTGTCTTGGGTGATATATATGGGAAGAAATGGTGTCTATCTAAAATTCTCAATAGATATGTCTTTATTATTTCACCAAAACATATTGACTAGTGAAGTCTAAAATTAAATCACCAACATTAGAGGGCAAGTCGGATATTAATTAAAAAAATATATAATCTATAACTAATACTAAAGTAGCAACCGCTGATGTCATCTTTTTCCAAAGCTATACACGTGGCGCTACCTCATGAAAAGTATATCTAAAGTATATTTGACTTTTTTTTGGAGGGAATTTTCCCTCCTAAACTCTATTTTTTTTTCCTTTCCGTTTAGATTTTTGCAGAATTATTAATGTGTGTCTAGAAACTTTATAGTTTAACTATTTATTATTATGATGGACTTTAATTTTAGATCACATTTTTCATGAGACTTCAATTTTTTTTATACTTTAATTATTAATATTATGATGGACTTTTAGATCAAATTTTTCATGAAACTTCTATATTTAATTTCAATTACCTTCATTAAAAACCGAGCATGGCTCGGGTATTATCTAATATACTATTAAAATAAAAGGCAAATACGCTTAAACTGGGAAAAAAAAAATGGAACATTAATCAAAGAGTTGTGATTGGTAACACTGTGTTTTTTTTCCTACTCAAACAAATTAAGAAACGTAATCACATACTCTATACGAAGTACTAGGTAAGACAATCACACAAATTATCCATGGCTCTCATTCAACAGATTCAACAACATACTTGAGTCAATGTTTCATTATTGCATGATACACAAAGAAGATAGACAACAGGTTCATTGTGCACATTTGATTGCAATAGATAGATAACGGGGTCATTTGTGCACATTTCAATATTGCACCATATTGATTTTTACACTGTTCATATGCTCTCCTTTGACTATCTATTGTAATTTATATGTACTTTTCAAAATATCTCAGCATATGCATATCAGTCGTCACATTCATGACAATATTATTCATACATATAAATCACAACATTAAGATGCTCAATATTGTCATGTAAAATATCGCAATATATGCATATCCACCGTCACATTCTTCTTATGCACGTGGCAATGTTTTACAACCAATCATTATGTACCATATAATTAACAAAGCAGACCTTATTGTTGTTTGGTAGAATTTGCCCTCATATAATAAGATACCAATACATGTAAGTTTAAAATCTCAAACATAATAAAATACTGATACATGTACAATTCTCAACCTTATATGAGTCATAATTATGTAATATCGAACAAATACTACAAGTATTAACAGCTTAACACTAATAAAAGAGCAAGCCCAGGTTGCTCACAATGATAAACATTTTCATGTTTATCAAATGACATTTTTAGTAAATATTTGATCATGAAAATTGTGTTGTGCATTACAAAAATAATTTTTCTTCTTTTAGCAATCTGTCATTGTCAGACGAAAATTGGCGGTGTTAGAGACTTTCATCCTTTCTTCCTCCCACCTAATTTCTTGTTCTTTAGATCATCTTCTTCCTCTCGCCCAATTTCACCATCTGTTTCCTCCAACACCATTTCGTCATCACCAACACCACAAGGTGTAACAGAAACTTAGTGCAGTATCTTTAAGCTCAATCAATCGTGGGCTTTGATAGATGGAGGAATTTGTGAGCTTCAATGGACAACTACCATTATCTCCACCAGATTCCGGCGACGAAGCCGCCAAATTAAACTAAAACCCTAAGAAAAATAGAGAAACCAAGGGCATAGTTAACCCTATAGGGTGGTTTTGTCGTCCTCCTCCATTAAAGCTACTCGTGAGCTTCAATTGGAACGTTTAGAAGGGGATGAAATGAAGAAGAAAGAGAAATTGGGTAAGAGAGAGAAAATGTCAATATTCAAGTTAGTGCCAATGTCATTTTTACCCCTAACTAAACACCTTAAAGTACGTTTTATACCCCCTTGATAAACATTTTTCGTTTATCATTATGATAAACTTGAATTTGCTCCTAATAAAACTTAAAAATAATTAACCCATCAATAAATTACATGTATAATACTGTCTTAATTTAGGATTGATTTACAACGGTGTTGTTCATATAACCACCTGAGACATTATATTACTCAGGTCCAAAAACTAAAATTATGTATATATTTTTTTTTTTTTTCAAGAAACAAAAACATAGAGATTGATAGAATGAAAAAAAAATATCTATATATTTGAAGTGATATCTTATATTGTAATCATATCCTATAAATAAATAAAAAACATAGTAATATATAAAGCTAAATGATTAGGTTGGTTACGAGACAATGACACTTAACATTTCAACTTTTCGTCAATTGTCACGTGACATTTCAACTTTTTGCCGTGTCTATGTCATACAAGCAACAACTATGCATAAACACACATGCTACATTATATGCCAATAAGTGATATCAGATAGCAATTTTAGGTTATTAATGATTTTAAAGCTCTTTTTTTTTTTTTTTTTTTTATAAACTCTTAATCTTTTTACATACATCTTAAAGTAAACTCTAAAATAATTGTGCTTCAAATTAATTAATTATGGAACACTAATATTAAGATCACTATGTTTGAATTTTGCTATTTAATTTTAAAATAAAGGGATCGATATATTAACAAAAACCACTATATTAAAATAAAGGCAAGGCCCAGTTACTCATTTTGAGTAAGAACAATTGTTATTCAAATGACACAAATTCTAAATAATTGTAAATTTGACAGTATTTTATTATTTTTGTTGCTGACTCATTTTCCTCCTTCCTCCTTCCCTTCTTCCTCCAAGAAATCACGAGCACCAACGAACCTTATTATTTTCTCCAAGAAATCACGAGCAAATTATCTCCAAGAAATCATCCAACCACCCAACACCTGTACAAACACGAGCACCAACCCCATTATTTCCGGCAATAGTTTTCGGCGGTTTCGCCACCAAACTCAACAAAAACCCTAGGTAAAAATAGAGAAATAAAGGGCATGGTTAACCCATAAGGGTAGGTATTTAAAGTTTTTTGTGAGCTTTTCCCTCCTCCATTGAAGCTGCTATGTTACTAAATTAAGAAATTGAAGATCGATAATCAACAATTAACAACAGATTTTTTTTTTTTTTTTTTTTTTTGAAACCAGCAATTAACAGTACATCAGCTTGTAAAATTAAAATTCGATTGTTAACAAACGACATTTCACAAATTTTCAATGATCCCTCTGTAGCTACTTCAATAGTGGAAAACAAACTTGCTTCATGCTTCAATGGAGAATTCTTAGTGCAGAACTTAGGATGAAAATGGTGAAGGTTGAAAGGGGGAAAAGAGAAATGAAAAAGACTTATTAAAATAAAACTCTTTGTGTCATAAGAGATTAGTACTCCCTCTGTTTCATAATTAACACAATACTTTCTTTTTATATCCGATTCATAATAATTGTAATATTTCCTCATTAAGTAAGGACCCACTATTATTTTATTAATTATCCTTCTTACTAACTCCACTTTTACAAATATTTAATTATTTCTCTCTCTTATCAACTTAACTTACATTACTTTTTTATAATTTCTCTCTCATACTAACTATACTTTATATTATAAAAAATTTGTCCACTTGCATTATTTCATTGAAGCCTACAAGCCTACCCTATATTTTTCTTAAACTAAATGCACTCCCTATTGTTCCAATTATTACAAGACGGAAGGAGTTTGTTTTATAATGAGTGTTTTAATATACTAGTTAATATGAATAATAAAAGTCATATGTTGAAGTTAGGGTCACTATGTTCGACATGCGGTCCTCAAATCCATAATAATATTATTGCGAACCAAATTCACACAAGTTTCAAAAAAGTCAATATATTATAATTAGGGTCACTATGTTCGTTATAACGCCGGCTGCCATTATTGTGACTAAGGTACACACAAGGATTTTTTTATATATAATTTTCAATACATATCTATAAAATTGTAACTTTTGCATTATTATATTAAATTCATTTTAAAAATTAATTTAAATCAAGATCCATTGATGATACTCCGTATATCCGGAACGATTTTTGAACACCCCTAATTATGAGTAGATTATTCAATTTAACAGATATAGAAAAACCTACTCTGTATAATAAAAAGCTTTTTTGAAATTTTCTAAGATTAATATTTTTTATAACTATGTACATACCTAAATTTGTATTGATTTTTAAATCCTAAACATAATAAGGTATCAATTAAAATCCTAAACACAATAGAATACAGATACATGTATAGTCTCAACCTTATACGAGCCATAATATGTGATATATCCTAAACACGCTACGAGTGTTACGTACCAACTTGAC